TCTCTCTCTCTCTGTTTTATTAAGCAGTCTATTTTTTTTTTCTTTCTATTTATCACGAAACTAGGGTGAAAGGGGGGAAAAGAGCACACGCCAAAGAGGAGAAAATTCGGGGGAAAATGGAGCCACGAGCTTTGGGGTGAGACGACGAGACACGCTTGCTCGACACGATACGTAAAGAGAGAAAGATTCCGACCAAAAGTCACTGGAGTTTCTTTATCGTTTCATGTCGTCGCTGAACTACGGATATTTATGCAAATTGATGTTTACATTGCTACAACAAGGATCGTATGTTTGCAATCTTGGATCGTATTACGTGCAATGTTCCGTAAATGCATAAACGCGTGCGAAATGCGAAACGAAATGTCTTTTCACGCGTCACGTCACGTCACGTCACGTCACGTGCCTTGTTGCATCTTGAAATTTTGCCAAACGCATAAACATCCGTCGCACTGCAGTTCGATCGCGCTTGCGATCGTTGGATCGCAATTGTAATTTTGCAAGGTGGAGATTCATGTGGAAAAGAGGTGGGACGAAAGTTCGATCGAAGAATCGAAGAAAAAACGTGCATTCTTCGATCAACGACGCATCGCGATCTCTCCGTCATCTCTTTGTCCCTTGTCGTAATCACCTTTCATTTTTCGTTGGACGAACGATCGATGTCTCGTCGTCTTTTGAGGATGTGCAACTCTGACTGCTATCGCGCACACTGTCGGTTTGGCTTCTTCTTTTTGACGTTCGTATATCTGTTTTCTTTTCATTCTAACCGCTTCACCCCGTAACCGTTTCTAACCCGCTTGCAAGAGGCCGAGGCCGATCACACTCGTCTGATTTTGTTTAAAACTTCACCTGTGGACGCTTTGGCGAACTAAAAATCTCGTGAATGAGGCCAAGGACCACCAGTCGTACACCACTTTCTTTCCTACGATATTTCTATCCTCTCAGAGATCATTCGATCAATCGTCACGAACTTGTTGTCTCATTGTAAAATAATCTTTACTCGTTAACAAACAAAAAAATATCTTTGCTTCTTTCACACACGACGTTGCAGCTCACTTCTCGTTTTTCTCGATTCCTTTCTCTTCTCAATTTTGCACTCTTGCACAAGCCACGCAATCGCAATTTCTCATCCAGTCAGCTTTTCTTCTTTCCCATCTTTCTTCTGATTCGCGCGTCGCAGCTTACCTATCGGGAAAAAAAGATAGTCGATGAAAGAGAATGATATTCACGCGAGTTTGCGATCAGGATCTCCACCTTTGACTACTTTTCTTATTTTTTCATTCTACTG